TTCCATCTGTTGCTTCTTGTCCTGCCTTCAGGCGCTTTGGAAAATAGCTTGACTCCCTCTTCTTTGGGGCTGCCCCTCAGATACTGGAACTCTGCTATCATGTCCCCCCTCATCCTTCTCTTCATTAGACTAGACATCCCCAATTCCAGCAACCGTTCCTTGTATGTTTTAGCCTCCAGTCCCCTAATCATCTTTGTTGCTCTTCTCTGTCCTCTTTCCAAAGTCTCAATACCTTTTTTACATCGTGGGGACCAAAACTGGATGCAGTTTTGGTCCCCGTGCTCATCACTAACCATTCTTAGCATCATTGACTTTTCCAATGAATTTGCACGCGTGACACGACCAAAGTCAACCAGACGTAGCCTTATGATGTACCGAGCAGATTAATCTCCTTTTACAGCACACATTTTCAATATCCTTTTTTTTTTTTCCATCTAAGGCCTCCAGACCTTAAATATCCCAATTTTCCCAAAGTCGCCCTCGGTCACCCTTGATATGTGTGTGATATTTGCATCCCTGGATTGAAAGTCTCGCTTCCTCGCTCTCTGCTATTTGTAGATGGGGGGGGGGGGCTAAATTTTTCCGGATTTTGAGGCTGGGGTTTCTATTGTGCAAAAGGCGGCTGAAACCGAACCCCCAGACTCAGTCTGGAATTGGCAGAGGAATTCTTTTATTATTATTACAGCAGGGCTACAATACAATGATTTGGCCAGGATAGACTCGGAAATGCCCTTTCAGTCTCTCTCCATCATCCGTGAACTTCCATGGATGTACTCCATAGAACATCATCCATCCATGGTTTCGTAACGCTTCACTCTTCTGGTTACGTCAATATTGGTCGGCAATATCATCCGCTCCCATCTGGATGGCCTCTGATAGTTCAGCATCCAAGGGCCCCAGCAGCTACAGACAAAAGTTGCTATCCACTAAGGAGAAATTTCCTGACAGAGGGGACAATTGACCAGTGGAACTCCTTGCCTCCAGAAGTTATGGGTGCTCCCAACACCGGAGGTTTTGAAGAAGAGACGGGACAGCCACTTGTCAGATATGGTCTAAGCCAGGGGTAGGCAAGCTTGGCTCTTTTATGACTCGTGCACTTCAACTCCCAGAATTCCTGAGCTAGCATGGGGGGAAGTATGGCCCCTTCATGACTTGCGGATTTCAAATCCCAGAATTCCTGAGCCAGCATGGGGGAACTATGGCCCCTTCATGACTCGTGGACTTCAACTCCCAGAATTCCTGAGCCAGCATGGCTCAGCTTGGGAACTCTCTTTCCCCTCAGCATGGCTGGCTCAGGAATTCTGGGAGTTGAAGTCCACGAGTCATGAAGGGGCCATAGTTCCCTCATGCTGGCT